TGTGTTATTTATTTTATTAGTTTTCTCTTTGGGAATCTCTTGAATTGTTTATTCTTAGTTTAAATAGATACCATATATTTTATTTTTGTACTGAACCCTGGTATACGCTGAGTATACCCCGGCCGTAGAAAGGGCTGGAAAGGTCGTTACAACTCTAAGTACTTTGGTTGTAGCCCTGCCACCACGTGGTCAAATTTTGTTCTGTCCCTTACTATGCCGGCGTTTCGAAATTGCGCCTCCATTTGTAAAAAATAAAGGTCCGGTTGTTCTTGCGAGAAAGTTAACGACTTTATCGACACTCGATATACCTCTTTGGGTGAGCAGCTTTCACCCTCTGCTGGAAAAAAATCCTCAGCCTGGTTATTCATTCTTAACACTGTTCACTCGCGAGGTCACCAATGTAATTATACCTTTATGTTAATATTAAACAATGAATTAAATTCCGATGTTTTTACTTCTCAATTACCAACTGTATAAAATTATATATTTTTATTTTAAAATTTGTTTTCTTAGTTTACTAAAAACTTCTGTTAAATTGATTTCTTGAATGTGTACTGCGTTATCACCACAAGGTTATACAGGAGTATCCCGAACCGACAAACAGCGACGAAGTAAGGAGATATATAGCCTTTTGCAACTATTATAGAACATTCATCAAAAACTTTGCATCTATAGCAAAACCTTTAAATCAATTACTAAAAAAGAACAAAATATTTGAATGGAATGCAGATTGTAATACTGGTTTTGAAACACTTAAATCCATATTAATAAGTCCACCAATTCTTAAGAAGCCAGACTTCCATAAACCATTTATCATAACCACAGATGCTACAGACTATGCACTTGGTGCAGTCCTTTCGCAAGGCGAAATTGGTTCTGATTTGCCTACATGTTATGCAAGAAAAGCCTTACAAAAGCACGACTTAAATAAACCAGTTATTGAATAGGAACTTCTTGCTATACATTGGGCAATAAACTACTTTCGACCATACGTATATGGTAAACAATTCTATGTTATCACTGATCATAGACCCCCTTATCTCTTTATTCATTCATAAAAATCCTTCTTCAAAAATGACTAGGATTCGCGTAGATTTGTCTGACTAAGACTTTGAAATAATATTCAAGAAAGGAAAAATCAACACCAATGCAGGGGCTTTATCAAGGATTAAAATATATTCTGATACTCTGAAAGTACTGATACCAATAAATTATGACAAGATGTCCAACCACAAGCTAAATAATCCGCATGAAGATGAAATTTTAAAACTTATAAAAGAAAAAGCTCTAGAATATATAGCCACTCGTAGCAAAACAAAAGACGCGACCTCTGCAAATACACTATTAGATGCCACTGAGCCTGAACACAAATGCCACTGAGCCTGATCAACTCTGTTGTTGGGATTGTACTTCTATAAGTGACATAAGAGGACTGAGAAAACTGCAGTTCAAAAATAAAGAAAAATTGAAAAACAATAAAAATCCATCTATATATAACGACGATAAAGAAGTTGTCATATAGTTAGGCGATATACCTCCGAAGCCGATTTCGATTATGGTTACGCTTATAGCTCAAGTTGAAAAGCTAAATATATTACAGTTAGTATTATCAGACAACGATAAAATATTTGAATCCATGGATAAAAAAGAATTTAAAGATAAAATAAATAAGTTGCAACGAGAGAATAAAAACAAGGAGAAATTAGTAATAGTGCTATACAAGAAGCCAGAAAACGTAGCGAATACAACAAAGAAATATAGATTAATTGAAGAATTTCATAGTAATCCTATTAGCGAACATCTAGAAATACGAAAAACACTCATTAAATTAAAACAAAGGTTGTTTCAAAAAATAAAACAAATGGTACACAAATTCATTCATTGTGAATAATGCCAAAAGAATAAACAAATCGGGTACAACAGAGTAGAACTCCAAATTACTACAACTCCACATTCAGCATTCGAGACTGTACAAATTGATACAGTGGGACCACTTCGACCATCAAACGGTTACAGATATGTATAAACAATGCAATGAGAACTAAGTAGATTTGTCATAGCACACCGTATAGTAACCAAAGATGCTAAAAGTGTTGTCACAACATTAGTGGAACAGCTGATACTAAAATTCGGTACATTTAAAACTCTAAACTCTGATAGAGGTACAGAATTTCTAAACGAATTAATGACTAGAGTAACAGAATTAATGGATATTAAACAAACATTCTCAACACCCTATCATCACGAAACAGTTGGTATAATAGAAAGAAATCATAGAGTACTAAATGAATACTTATTAAATTTCGTTAACGATGACAACTGGGATAAGTGGATAACGCACTATACATTCGCGTATAATACCACATGGGGCGTATAATACGTCGACACTGAATATACATCACACGAACTAGTGTTCGGGATATTACCTTCGCTACCAGGTGAAAAATTGAATGACACAAAATAAATTTCAATCTAGCTATCCCTTGTAATGATATGATATTTTTGTTGTATAGTTGTTAGATTTTTATATACCTTAATTAAAACGACTTTACATTTCGCTCGTCATATCAAGACTGATTTTTATTTTCATTTTTCTTCTTAAAACTAACATTGTTTCTTACAACTAATTTCCAATAGAATCTTATGTAAGGATTCTATTGGTTGAACCTTGAATTTACTTCCGTCTAATTGGTTAACCCAAATTAGACGTATATAATGTTTTATAAAAATAACTTATATACATTTATTAGTTATAATGGTCTTCTATTTCACAGTGGCACACATCTGGTAACCAAGTGTATTGAGTGCAAATCATATTGCTTGCATTATCGCTTGCAATATGATCTGTGAAATACTTAACACAAATTCATGTGTTGAGCTTGCCGCTATCCAAATTGTCAAATGCATATTGGAATAATTAAATATTCATACAAATACACCCTTAATAATGCGAGAAATCTAACCATAGAAATTAAAAAACAAAAGACATCCAGAATCATAAAATAATAGCAATCCAACTAAAGTAAAGATGATAGGTGATGAAATATTAGTAAAAGCACAGAAAAGGTACAGACGAAAAGGTACAAGTCCATACACAGGTCAATATGAAGTAATAGATATACAGGGTAGCAATGTTGTAATTAAAAACGGCAATGAAACAAAAACATTACTTAAAAATAACACAAAATTATTTCAAATATAAAATTAAAAAAAAAACAGAGATTATTCCTATAGCTTAGTAAATTAATTTTAACTTTAATTTCACTTAATTTCATTAAATTATAAATATGTCATATAACGAATATTTTATTTCAATATAAAAAAAATAAAGGAAGGAAAAAGTCACACGGGGCCATATCTGGGGAGTACGGTGCTTGGTTGATGATATTGGTGGAGTTTTTGGCCAAAAACTGCGACACAACCAACGCTGTGTGAGCCGGTGCGTTATATTGGTGTAACATCCATGAGTTTTCCTTTCATAAATCTAGCCTCTTTTTGCTAATGGCCTCACGCAAACGACGCATAACGGCAAAATAATACTCCTTATTGACCGTTTGACCATTTGGAAGGAATTCATAGTGCACCACCCTACGAATATCAAAGAAAACAGTCAGCATAACCTTGATTTTGGACCGACTTTGGCGTTCTCTTTTCGGTTTCGGCTCACCTTCGAAGCACCGTTCGGTCGATTGTTGTTTGGTGGGCATATTAAATTTATAGACCCCTGTCTCATCACTAGTTATGATGCATGCGATGAATGTGGGGTCACTATCTGCGTCGGAAATCATCTCTTTGGCCACATCACAACGACGCTTTTTTTGAATGAAATTCAGCTCTTTTGCCACCAACCGAGAAGCGACGCATTTTAAACCTAAAACATCAGTTAAAATGTGTTTGGCCGATCCATATGAGATGCCCAACAACACTGCAATCTCTCTAATCGATTCACAACGATTTTCCAACACGATCTGCTTCGCCGATTCACTATTTTCTTCAGATACAGATGTTGTTGAACGGCCAGGTATCTCAGCATAGTCCAAGCTTGTACGACCGTCTTTAAATCTTTTAAACCATTCGTATACTCGTGGTTGCGACAAACACAAATCACCAAAGGCCTTTTTTAACATTTTCAACGTTTCGGCACCTATGAATCCATTTGCAACACAAAATTTGATGCACGCATTTGATGTTCTAATTTTTAATCCATTATAAATATCTGCACACGGAAATTTTTCGACTTCTTTTATTTCTAAAAATAAAAAAAATTTAGAGAACGGATAAGCGCGGGAATTCAAAAATTAAAATTCTCTTACTTTTTTGATCACAAGTAATGTAATACAGCAATGTAATATAAATATCATTATACAAGAACATTATGCAACTAAATGTAAACTAAAAATTTTATATCAAATATATATAAGAATATTACAATGCATGATGCGCGGTAATTAGCATGTGACACATTTACCCAAAAAAAAAATCCCACTGAAAAATTTTACGAGTTATGTAATTCGACTCGTTTTTTATCATTTCTCTATGACAAATATTCTGCCGCATAATTTATTACTTCATTATTCTGCCGCATAATTTATTACTTACGTTAATTTGAACATGGATGTTTAAAAAAATCTGTATATTAAAATTAGTACAGTAGTAATACAAATATATGGACTCAGATTTTGTAGAAGTGAATTACCATTTATATGCATATTTTTGAACACGTTTGTTTCTTTATTATTGTTATGATTTCTTTACAGAAATTATAACGTAATATAAGTTATAGTAAAAATAAATTGTACAGTTTTATTTTATTGTTTATTTATTTTATTGCCAACTTAACGTGTTTTAAAAAAATAAGTTTGTTTTAGTAGTTTCTGATTATAACAAAGTTATGACTAAGCCTAAGATCGAATACTTCAATATTAAATATTTCCTTTTACATAATGATTTTATAATTTAATGGTCGTATATATATTTTATTTTTTATATATTGATTATAGCTCTTCTGTCGAAGCACCTAAAATTTTACCAATGTTTCCGGCTTACTACATATTTAACAGCTTACTGATAATGCTGCTCATATTACATTTATTTTGGACATATATGATTATTAAAATCGTTTTGGATTCCCTGCAAAAAGGCTTGGTAAGAATTTTTTGTGATAATTAAGTTTAATTTATGATTTTTCTTGTCATTGGCTATTGTGCCTTTGACAAATTAAAAGTTGCAATAAATACTAATTTTATTTTTTAAACCTTTACTTTATAGCAGCACTTTATTAAATACTAAAATAACTTATATTTTTATTAAAAATTATATTATACATATACAGTATACAGAGACACAAGTAAAACATTATAAACTTTATTAAAAATATTAGTTGTGGAGTAGCCGTGTAAGTTAGCTAATTGATTCTATTTAAATTTGTGTTGTTGTCACCTGTTACTCTATTTAGAGTAATTATTGGGAAAGTATCTTCCTCTATTGAAAGTAAAAGTGAATGACATGGGGTTAATCTTAAAACTCCATTACATTATACATTTTTATAAAGAAAAAAATTTGTTTTAAATTAATTGATGATATGTGATATGTACTTTAGACTGATTTGAAGATAGGCTTCCATGATTTTGGATTTCATTTATTCAAAATTAATTTACATTAAATAAATGTATTTTCTGAAGGAACTTAGATAGACTAGAGTCAGACTTATGTGTCTATATGATGAAACTAATGTTAGATCTCTGTCTTATTTGTGAATGATCTACACATTAGGAAAATACTTAAATTGAAAAATGTGACATAAATTATTGTCAGTAAAATTGGTTTTGTGACCTGACACTTTCTTTAAATATTTCATTGAAATCGAGCATCGTTGATTGTTGTGTGAGTGCCAACAACTTGACTACAAAGCTTTTGTGAAAATGGTTAATAGCATATTAGCTACTATTTTAGAATTAATACAACTTATTCAATCCGAATTTACTAGATACATTTTTTTCGTTTTCTTTGCCTTAATTATTGTCAGTACGATGAATTCCAGTCGCTTAAACTATAAATGTCTATCGATTCAACCATCCTATATGGTATATTGCCTGATACATGACAGTTAATCAAGCTGCGCATTTTATACGAATTGAGAATAAAATTGTACATATTTTTAATTATTGTTTTAGTTAATGGAATCTAAACGAAAATGATATGTCTGAATTCATTAAATATAAAAGTGAACTACATTTATTTTAATTATGAAAGATAGAATAGCAAACCATTCCAAGTAACACAGAATATATTAAAAACACATTTAGTGAATATAATCTTCATGCAACTAGAGCTCTATTTGTAAGTGCATGATTTAAAAAGAAACTGCATATTTGCTGACTCGTGGCATGAAAACTTGTTATGAATTCAAAAATTATAATTAATTCCAGTTTATTTAAACTGCAGTAATTTGCAAAATAATTTTAATAACTTATATGATCTATTGGTGGAAGCTTAGAATGAAGATGTGATAACAACAGGTAATTTCAATGAACGAATAGGCGAAAAGCAATGTTTGAAATTAAGCCCAAGTATGCAAAGGTGTGAAATATTTGATCACAAAGAAACAATGCATCCGTTGTAGACAGAAATTGCAAACAATTTCTAGAATTTTGAAACTCATTTGGTATTTGGTGTTAAAAGCCTCACTGAAAGCGATGGAAAGGACGTTTATGAGAGGTTTAGCAATGTCAACGATAGTTTATTGTTCTGTGAAAGTAGTGTGGTTAGAAAAAAAGAAAGTAGTAGCACTTTTAAGTGTTACTACTTTCATGATATAATTTGATCATCAATCAAGAAAAATTATGATTTCCAATATCCTATGCAGTTTAGAGCAAAACGTTTTGGACTGAAGTTAAAACAATAAATCGAGCAGATCACATCAAAAGGATTAAATTAAACTCCAAAGCTTTGGCTGCTGAACTTGAAAATTTTGAAAACAAAATTCCAATTGAGTATACTAGATTGATTATTATGTTAAATAAAAAAATAAATGAATAGATAAATGTATGCAATATACATTTTAATACCATTCACTACTATAATCATAATATGAATCCCTTAAAGCTATGTACATCCTCTAAAAGATAAAAGGATAACAGTTTTTAAGCAATTTTTATTATATACTACTGTATTACTGAGTTTTTGGCTGTAATTTTACACAGTAAATAATAAAACATGGAGAAAAATGGAACAAATTAATTAAAAAGTCTTAATTATAAAGTCTTTTTTACAGCAATTAAAAAGTCTTATTAAACTTTTGTCTTAAGGATAATAAATATTTCATTTTCGAATATACACTGTACACACAAAGAAAAGGGATGCCGATGGGTTATTATGGAAGAGTTATTAGAAAAGCAGATAAAATTGATAAAACTCTAAGAATATTGATTAACTTCCACAAATTTGCTATGGATGAAGAAACAAATAATATTTCTTGGTGTGGAAGTCGAAACAGCCCTTGCTTCACATTGTATTTCTACACACCGTGAGCCGGATTTAGAAAATGTGAAAA